ATGTATCTTTCGCCGTCAGGCGACCACGATTCGCCGTTAGGCGATCACGATTCGCCGTTAGGCGAGCACGATTCGCAGTATGGCGAACACGATTCACAGTATGGTGAACACGATTCGCAGTATGGTGAACACGAGCAGCTCGATATAACTGCAATACGATTTGCACGTATAGCGAATTTGAGTAGAAATTTCATCAGATAGATAATTAAAAAAAATAGTAGGAATTATTGATTTTAGTGTCAGATCGAATGTAATTCAATGTGATATAAATTAATTGAGTGTGTATTTTGTATTAACGAAAATATTTACTTACAGTATAGTTCTAGCAACAAGTAAAGCAGTTAAATAATCTGGCGAAAGTTGCCTTTCATTGAAGGAATTAACAAAAATAAGTTTTTATAAAATATTTTCAAGGCAGCAATGTACCTATATCATGAGAAAAATCTCTATACCAAAACGACATGTGTTTTTCCAAAACATTTTTTTAATTTTCATTATTGAGATAGATCATGAAATCATAGTATAGAATATACATGTTAAAGTCTCACGAGACTGTACTTAGTATTTCGTTCCGCCAAAAGTTAAGTAAAGGAGCTTAAAAGAAATAGGAACGGCAATACCGAAGATGTAAACATTAAAATTGAGCGGAACACCAATTTCTGATTTTCACATTTTCATATATGATTAAAACAATTCTAAGGTATACCTAGAAAATAATAGTTACATATTTCGCATTCTAAGAATAATTTGTTTTCTTATTTGATTCTTGAGACTTCCTTTCTTAGGTATTTCAAACGTGCATCATTATACACATGAATCAATTATTGTGTAAAGGCTATATTTTTTTCCATCTATCTGAAGATAAAATAAAACAACAGATATGGCTAATACTTTTCCATCACAACTGAATGTGTCATTTTAGAATTATAGAATATGATCAGAATTATAATAAAATAAAGAATTTCTTTTTGTTTTTATAGTCTAAATGCAACTGCGATCTTTATTTCTGATATGCTGTTTTATAGTATGATAAGCACTACATTTCATATACAGTTTTAAGAGAAAACATTAACTACTGATAAATAAAAATTATACAATTGATTGTCTCTAAGAAAGTCAATAGTAACAGCTGGTAAAGTTTATTTTTGATTCGAAATTAGTGTTGTATATTATGCGCTTAAGATTATACACATTTCTATCAGCATTGTCGAATATTGATGTACTTTTTTATCATAAGGAGATTAACTCGTTCGAGACTCAATTTTTCATTTCTTATTTCAATATTAGTTCTTATAGGCGTTTGAATTATTTTTTGTTGTGTTTTTTTGCTGGCATTTTGTTTCAAAACACAATAGTAGAGCTTCTATAAATTGCTTTTTCACCTTAAATATTTTTTCAATAATTTAAAAATATCACAACATATGATCCAACTTATATAGCACGTAATTTTTCACATGTTTTGGCAAAAAACATCTACTTTGTACTTCGATTTTCTCTGGTCAGCTTAAACTACTTCGTATCATTGTCTAAAATCTAATCATGCTCTCAATTAGAAAAAGTAAAATATCAAATCGTCAGATTGAAAATCGAAAATTCTCAATGAATTTGCGAATTCCGTTTCTCTTGATATATCTAATCATATCTGCAAGTCACTATAGAACGCTTTGACTAATTAAAGTACATTTTTATTCTATCTGATCATATTTGGTATTGTTTGATTCGTCATGAAATGTATTACGAACAATTAACAAGTAGAGAAGCTTCCGTTATCAATAACACATTTATTTGAGCTGAATATATCAATTTCACGCATATATAGAAACAGAATTTCAATTATTAATAATAGAATAACATATATTGTTTTTTTTTATTCTTTCCTATATCTGAGATAATTTCTAGTAAAAATTACTCTTGTAATCCTATTAGAATTTGATCAATGGAAACTATTAATGTCGGACAATTCAAATGCATTAGTACTTGAGTTCTGCTGAATCCAATCATATATGAACTTTTTATTCTAAATAAAATTATCGTCAACTATATATTCATAACAATGACATTAAATAAAATAAATAATACAACATGATATACTAATCAAAAACTACTTATCTTGCACAAACCATGTTTCTTCTTTCTTATTTTGAAGGAAGGCTTGTAGTTTAATATTCAAGGTGGTAAAAATAAAATAGAAAACTTATTATTGTTGGCTAAGATGACGATGCTCACTTGATCCATTGAAAAATTCGTCATCCCCTTATCAGTAATAATCTGATGATCGTCAATATTGTAGATACTAATTCGATGCACCTTATTACTTGATGTTCAAAAAAAAAATAGATTAAATATGATACAATTCATTCTTTAGATTTCAAAAAGGAATATTCTCATAAAAAGGTCGCTTTCTTGTGAAAAAAAGATTATTTTATTTTTTGCAATTGAAAAAATAAACAATAAAAATATTACATTTTCGTTTTTGGAAACTTGATAAAGAAAACATGTCCACACTCTAGTCATTTTTTTGTATGTAATAAAAGTTAACTAAATATTACATTATTATTTTACAAGAGACACAAAACGGATACGATTACAAGCTATAAAACTGTTTTTTCTGTAAAAATAGCCAATTTTATTTGATAATTCAAAAAAATGTCGATATAAATATGACATATGATTTCACATTTGAAAATATTAGAAGGAAAATCATATAACTCATGTAACACATTCATCAAAACTAGTATGTTTAAATTATCGTTTTCTTTTTATGAAAAGATCAAATCGTTAAACTTTGGATTCGAAAGACATAAAGTCAATATCACGTAACCGGTTTTCTTTTGATGGAAATATTGAACTGGAAAAAACGTATTTCCTTAAAAAAACTTTATTTTACTCGCTATCTCCTATGTAAAATTTTCTTAACGATTTAACGAAAAAAGATGTCACCTTTTTGATCATGAAGATGCATTAATATATCTATTGTAACGAAATATCACGAATTACATATATTTTACTTTAGTTTCATTAAGATCAATATTCTAACGCGCTTTTTATCAAGAATGCAAAATATTTTTTCATTAAGTTGTTAAATTTAAAAAAATTTGCATGGGAATTAGAAAAAAAAACGAAAAAACAACGTTACCTGGTTATTTTTTAATTTCAGATTGAACAACAAATAAACTCAACATTATATGACTAAATTGATTGATTTCACGGGATGAATAGCTTTAAATTACAGATTTTCTTACATAAAAGAATTTATCGATTCATTTAGCACTTCAAAAAAAAAAAAGCATAAACAGAGTATCATGCAGATATTTAAACTAAATGTTTTAGGGCATCTATCATTCTTTGGTCTGATACTTTTAATAATGAAAGATTTACATTTGTTTTGATACGCATATATATTTTTTCTCATTGAATGCTAAGGTGTTTTGTTATTGTTGTAGATATTCATGTAAGCAGAACGTTGTATAATCCATTTATCATGTTTTCGTTCACCACTGTTTCTAATAAAACCAATCTGCTCTACCTTTACCTGCAGTAGATTAATAAAGAATCGAAAGAGAAAAACTTCACACGTTTCAAATCTGTTTGTTGACTAGCATATACCTGTCGTAATAATCATATATTGACTTGTATACACATAAATGAATATGAGTCTACATTACTTAGAATTGAAACAGAAAAGTTTAGTTTGTAGCGTTATATATATGGCACATTCTCATCTTCTAGGGTTTTATATTAACATGATTGTTAAATACAATAGGTTAGTCAAAAAAAAAATTAGCAGTTATGTACATTTAGTATTGTATTTTTTTTTGCTCTAGCATGGTTTGATCTTTGATGCAACATAATATTGCTGAAATTATATTTGATTTTGAAACGATGGAGTTTTAAATGTATTTGGTGCGAATACAAATTTATCAAATGTTATAATATCAAATGAATGAGAACAAATTGTTAATGATAATAAAAATACTCAACAAGTTGGTCAAAATGTTCCACGATCACTATTAGATAATAATAATAATGTGCAACAATTAAATCATCTTGAATTAAACTCAAGAAGCAAAGAAAAACATTCGTTTATATATATATTTTTTTTGATTGTTCTGTGTAATTATAAATATCTGTTAATCTTTCTCCTACATGTTGATGGAGTTTGATCTAAGAATTTCGATATTTTAATAAAGAAAAGCTTAGAGTTTACAGGTCCCACTGGTTTGTATTTTTTCTTGACGTTTTGGAAGTCTGACTCTCGATGCACTATGATCAATAACCAGATAGGTTAATCTAAGTTGATTCTTGAAACTTGATGCACTGAGTGTTCCATACATCCATATTATTGTGTCAGAAAAGTATTAGTGCATAACCATATGTAGAAACGTTTACAATAAATTTATAGATTTTTAAGTGAAAAAGATTAAAAGATATTATATCTCACTGTTGATTTCATCGTTTTCTGTTCAATTTATATTTGGAATAACTTTCTTAGCTATAGTTTAGATACAATAAGACATTGAGACAAATAAACGATGTTTTTTAGCTTTGAAAAAATGAATTTTTTTTCTGTTAGATAAAAACGTAGATAAAATGATTCTCAATAGTGAATAAAAAGAGACGAAAAATTTCGGTCTAAAAATATAAAAATAAACAAACAAGATGATAATGTTTTCGTGCAAGATTGAAGAATTAAATTTTAAGATTTTTTCCGAAAAAATAAGAATAATCTTAGTGTAAATTTATCAGATTAAATCAGACCCAAATATCGTACAGATGCTAAAACAAAATTATTTTTTTCGTTACATTGTCTTGTAAAAGAGCAAATTTTAGCTTTATCAAAAATATTTAATTGGATTTTCTAAAGAAGTTGATTTCCTTTATTGATATGTGCTATATTGTAGATAACAATTCGAAAAATTTTCATTAAACTAAAGATGAGCACACGGTGTATATTCTGTTCGGTATTGTGTTCGGGTCACTCTTGCTTACAATGCAATCAAATGAATCGTAGTCAAAAATTTGCAAGGTTACTTCAGATCTTGGGACAATGTTCTGAAAGTATTGTTTATCATGATGAAATTGCTTCTGTCGTGCAACGAATTCGACAGGTAAGTCGACTACGGTTCCAATTAAATTATAAAGAAAATGTTATAGATTGAATCAATTATGGCACCAATTCAGTTCCATCCGAATCAAGTTTTCGATGAAACCAAACACATTGTAGATCCAATTGCTAAAAAATATCTTGAGAAAGCGACTAATGATGTACTTCATCTTATTCCGGTCAAAGTTGCTGATGACGGAAACTGTTTATACCATTCAATTCTTCTATTAATGAATAATCCAACGGTGACGACGGATGAATTGCGCGGTACGTAGATTTATTTTTCGTTTATATCATTGTACAATCTATTTTAATATGATTTTTAGTTCGAACAATTATCGAACTTATGACAAATGAAGCTTATTATGATAGCATGTATTCACAATTCATCGGATCTGTTGCATTTATTATCAAGGCTATGTGCAAAAATAATACATTTTCAGAATTGTATGAAATTAGTGCATTATGCAATGTACTTAAATGTAATATACGAAGTATCTATCCGAAAATTGATTTTCGAGAAGATATGGCAATTATGAATAACGTCTTTACGCCTGCTCCACCTGTCATTGCCAACTGTAACATCGCAATTTTGTGGTCTCATGTCCGGAACGAAACAGATGCACGAGCTGCAAATAATGGCGCATGGAGTTCCAATCATTTTGTTCCTCTTCTATCATCAGCAATGCATTACACATCTGAACATGGAAATAAATCACCAACGTTTGCCGTAAGTTGTTTATCTGTAACTACTTCTCTGAAAATTTTTGAATTCTATTTAGACTCCTGAAAAGAAAACGTTTAAGAATAATACTCCTACTCGAATACGAAATCCTGAATTTGAATGTTCTCCCAGCAGCCGTCGACGTATCGATAGTGTGGAAATATATTCCACTCAATCAATCAGTTCAAGTGTACTACAACATAGTCAAAGCGGCATAGAAGAACAACGTCAATTGCGACTTGATGCACAAAGTGAACGAGCTCGGTCTAGCCGAATGAACGAAACAGCTGAACACCATCAAATTCGGCTTGAAAAGCAAAAACGTCGAGATCAATCTCGTCGATCAAATGAAACAGAAGAACACCGTCAACTTCGCCTTGAAAAGCAAAAAACACGAAATCAATTGAATACAGCAGAGCAACGTCAGATTCGACTTGAAAAACAGAAAACACGAGATCAATTTCGTCGATCAAATGAAACAGAACAACAACGTCAAATTCGACTTGAGAAGCAACGGAAACGAAGCGAAGCAAGCAGAGCGAAGAAGAAACTTGAAAAACATACATTTGACAACATTGACATTCATCGACAAAATATCGAAATGCAATTTAGTGGAGCGGAAGAAGAAGCATCATTGGATAATAGCAGCACAAATGAAAACATCATAAAGAAAAAGAACGACTCAAATTATTCCTCTTGGCCTGAATCGATTCCTCGTGAATTAAAAGAGGCTCGATTACAACAGTTTCTTCAACATATGTCCATGTCAGTACTAGCTGAAGCTACTTGTGCAATTTGCAACGTTCGTACTCCAATGCAGCAGTCAAAAAAAGTGCCACTCTCAAAAATTCCTAATATTCATTTACTTAAAGTTTCTAACGAGCTCAAAAATTTAATTACTAATGGTTCATCATCGTTATCACAACATTTAGATGGTAACAGCACAGCGATTCTTCAAAATATTCAAAGTAACATATGATTGATTACTGTGATTTGAGACATTATATAGAATTTTTGACTATTCTAGTTCCTTCAACTTTCGATTCTTCATCATTTCATTATGATAATGGTGTTATCTTATATACCAATGGATTATTTCAACAAAACAAGGTGAACATGTGCACCCTTTGCCAAAAATGTCACAGTTCTCTATCGAAGAAACAAATTCCTAAATTCTCAGCTGCCAACAATATATGGTTAGGTGACGCACCTTCTGAATTACGAGGATTGACAATTCTAGAAGAAAAATTGATATCACTCTATCGTCACAATAGCTGTATCATAAAACTTCATTCGCCTTTCCATTCAACTACAAGTGCTCAAACAGCATTGAAAGGCAACTGTATTACTTTTCTTCAAGATGTACCGAACATTGTTAATAGTTTACCACTTACACTTGACGAGCTGTGTGGTACACTTAAGGTAATTTTCGTCGGAGCTCATCCTTCTGAACGCATTCAACTTAAAAAAGTGCTCATAGTACGCAAGAAGAAAATTATCGAAGCATTACATTGGCTGAAGAAACACAACATACTTTATCAAAATGTTGATATAAATCTGAAGAATATTGCTCAATTACCTGAAGACGATGTACCAGAATGTATTATGTCAACGATGGAACAGAAGATAGGTGATGAAGAAATTCAATCTGAAAGAATTGGATATATTCCAGATCCATTATCTGACCCAATAGAACGTACTAGTACAGATAGTATTCCTATTAGTAACAGGTGAGAGCAGCTAATAAATTAGTTGTTTCACCAATCTTTTGTTTTTAGTGGTGTTCTCGATGTCAATGGCTCATCAGTGTCTTCAGATGAAATTACTAATTATCTTTTGCACAAAATTAAAAATGACGGAACAAAGGAACAGATGGACACCGAAAATGTTTATTTGATTCCTCATTCTTCGAAGTCTGTTAATGAATATTTTAATCCAAAACTACTCGTAGGTCTGTATCCAGCCTTATTCTGTTATGGACGTGGAGCACCTGAAGATCAATCTCGTCCAGTTAAAGTAAATTTACGAGAACACATACGTTATCTGTTATCGTATAATGATCGACGTTTTGAAACAAACCACAGTTTTATATTTGTCGTCTTCAACCTATTACAACGACGTGATGCTTGTTTTCATGCTCAGCTGATCGCAACAAAACCTTACTTTCGGGCATCTGCTGATGAAATTCAATCCTTGAAAAGTAAAGATATTGAAATGGCGCTCGATAACATTTCCAAAAAAACATACAGTTCAGAATCCAACAGTGCATTAAATAAATTATTGCATCATATTAAAACCATCGGTGGCCGAGTTATGGGTTCAGCATATTCACGTACGGCATTACGTACACGTATTCATGCATTAATCTATAATCAAGGTCTGCCCAGTATATTTCTTACTATAAATCCAGCCGACATTCACAGTCCTGTGGCATTATATTTTGCGGGAGTCAAGTTGGATTTAGATAACATTCAAATATCGCAACTGATGACTACTTACAAAAGAGCCGAAATTATAGCTTCTCATCCTGTTGCTACCGCAAAATTTTTTCATCTATTAATTTCAAATATCTTAAATACTATGATTAGTGGTGGTGTTCTTGGACCAATAAAAGCTTATTTTGGTACTGTTGAAAGTCAAGGACGAGGTTCGCTTCATTTGCATCTTCTTATTTG